ACACATATATATATATAGTTGTTTTAATTATACTTTAGGAATGTAGCACACATCTATCATTGAAGGAACAATCAATGGTCAATCAGGTACAACCGCCCACAACGTGATCCAACTATAAACGTACAAATACCAACTCAGATACAGAATGTAATATGCTCACCAACAGGCATACATACCAGCCTGGAATACTTGCGCGTCTCTACCATGATGGATGATCAATCTACGTATCGTGATTGCTAGATAGATACTTGTGTATTCTGGCAATTAAACAATGCCAATGGATAGAAGGTGTTATTAGCGGCGGTGGTTGCTATTTATGGGACCTTCTTCCGCACATCCATCTGCGTTTCTCGGCTTCTAGACGTCTAATATGTACTAACCATGTACATAAGTATGTAATTTGCACAAGAGAAATATCGAGCTATATCACAGGTTGCGTGCAGATCTATGGTTCATGTTATTTATATCTCACTTCTTGGAAGTTGTTATGTCATCACACTGTGCGGCGTGCAGTCAACAACTGATAAATATTGTCCGACGCTTCACTGGTCACCGTCTTCCACAATCCACACTCGCGAACTCGTCATATCTTTGCAATCAGCGGTAAATTGATTACAGACATACCCGTTGTCGAGTACTGGTTTTGTTTAGATACCAATAGCGGGACGAAGAAGATCATTTCAAATGAGTCATATCTCGAAATTTCTAGAATACCCTAATATGGCTCGGGCGCGCAAACCAGGTGATGCCATTTTTTGAATATATATAATATATAAAATCAAAAAGAAAAGTTGTGAATATGAAGTGATATTGATATATTCGTACGTCAGGTAGCATATATTAGTTGACCACTACATACATACATACAAGATAACTAGTTGTAGTAATTAGCAGCACATGCACTGTTTATATTTACATCATATTACAATACACATCACATAGCAGTACATGCATGTTTTAAAGGACGTCTTCCGAGCTATAAGCTTTTTCTTCTGTGTAACTGTTGGGCAACCCTTCGATTCAACGCAGCTACGTGAATTATATAACATCTACAACACTCCCAGATATAATATATCCACATTCTTGAGGGTATCTCCACAGTTCAAGTAATTTACTTTACACGTGAAGCCTCTAGACAGCAAGCGAAAGAGACTAAGCTAGAAAGTGCCTTGAGAAGATGTCTGCTATAGTAACTATCCTCCTGTCGGCGTTATTTGCAGGTAGGTCACAATACCACTCTGTTTGAAAGGAAACAGTCCTTACAACCTACCTATAATGTCATCGATTCCTGCCGAGTCCATGACGTGTATATATATAGTTATCGTTTGTGCACGAGCGTACATGCCTATCTCTGCATCGGCAACACACCTAAAATGCGATATAAATGTATGGCATGTGTGTGCTAAGTGTATATAGACAATGCATCCGCCACACAGTACAACGCATGTGCATGTCCCATATAGAAGGTGTATACAATGACTGTTTCAAGTTTCGGTCTCAAATGTGGTCCGACCTCTAACTACTTGCAACAGGGCAGATTTTGTAAATCGCTATAGAGACCATTAGCAAGCACAGATCACGTTTGTCGCTTGTACTATAAATACGTTGGTTCACACTATTGTCTACCTACGATATAACGTGCCTATTTATAAATATCATAAATAGTATATATGCATATGAAATATACATGTAAGAGTCTATTGTACGAGATATGTGCTTGCAATAGATACACAAACACACTCACACAAACACACACACACACATACACACACACACACATACACACACACACATACACACACACACACACACACACACACTATATATATATATAATATATATATATATATATATATATATATTATATATATATATATATATATATATATATATATACATATCACATATCACACTTATATATATATATAATATATAAATATATATATTATTTATAATACATATGCATATACTACATATAATATCTACGCATGTACTAATATACACATGCTTATATTATAAAGTGCATATGCATGGAACATAATATGTATATATATGGTCACTCATATATCCTTGAACTTAATACACTGAGTTGGCGAAGCGCCGCGATATAGGTTCTGAGCGTTTGATTATATGATAGGGGATCCGATATGAGGACCTTTTAAAATGGGCGAATTGAATAAGCGTAAATTAGTCTGTGTTTGTAATTTAGACCAATCCAGACTGAGATATGGACAGAGTATATGCCTGCGATTCCAGTATTCAGTTTCATTTATGTATACTGATGGTGTGTCCCATACCGTCGTCGCCGGTTACTCGCACGGTTGGAGGCCTTACGAGTGACCTTCCTGGGAGAGTATAGAGTATCTGCATTTTTATGATCTTCCTGGAGTTGTATAAAGTATAGTATAGTAAAATATAGTATAGAGTACAGTATAGTATGGAGTAGAATATAGTATAGTATAGTACAGTATAGAGTATAGTATTATATAGTATAATATAGTATAGTGTAGTATAGTAGAGTATAGTATAGTATAGTATTGAATAGTATATAGTACAATATAGTATAGTATAGTATAGTATAGTATAGTATAGTATAGTATAGAGTATAATATAGTATAGTATAGTATAGCATAGTATAGAGTATAGTATAGTATAGTATAGTACAGTAAGGTATAGTATAGTATAGTATAGTATAGTATAGTATAGTATAGTATAGTATAGTATAGTATAGTATAGTATAGTATAGTATAGTATAGTATAGTATATAGTACAGTATAGTATAGTGTAGTATAGTATAGTATATAGTACAGTATAGTATAGTATAGTATAAAGCATAGTATAGTATATAGTATAGACAATGCAGTGTGATCAAATCTCCTCTACATCGTCATCCGTATAGGCGTTGTTGTGATGAAGCCCTCGGAGACCTATGCACCATACAGTACACCGGTTTGTGATCCGCACACACGGTTGCTACTGTATCACTTCGCTCAGACAAACTAATCTTGTCCTCGTTGCCATGCCAACGCCTTTATCTCAGGGCTGGTCGCCATACTTGTGACCTTCCTGATAGAGCGGCTGGGCGGGTTGGTGGGTGGAGTGATAGGGTCTACCCCTTCTATAACCATCCCCACAGTCATAGGTATAGCTCTCAGTAGTAATGAGACCCAGGATGTCTTCAATGCCATGACCGCCATTCCAGTGGGGTTGCTGGTGACAGCCTCGTTTCTGTTGGTGTGGAGATACCTTCCGCTGCCCTTGACACAGAAGCTGCACGTCGAGTCAAGGGTGAGTGTGTGCGTGCGTGCGTGCGTGCGTGTGTGTGTGTGTGTGTGGTGTTGTTATAAGCGTATGCACATATGCGTGCCGCTGTATCCGTGTCGAGTCCTCAGTGTATGCATATCTATCTATATCTATTTATATCTATCTAATTCAATTTATATCTATTTATATCTATGCGTATCTATATATATCGCCCGCCTGTCGCTGCCCGTTTCATGGTCGCGTCACGGTCGCAGGCACATACAGGTGGGTTAGCTACTGCAGCCATTCACAGCTTCCGCTTGCACTCCAGGCACAAGGCAAGCCACCGCTGTTTCGCACAGTATCCGCCCTACACTTCGCCTGTGTACGTGTGCGAGTTCTATACCACCCCCCCCCCCCCCTTATCTCTTCCCCTTTGACTCAACAGAGTGCGCTCTGGCTTACGTTGGCGACCAGTCTGTGCGTATGGGCCGGTTTCGCAATCATCAGCGTTATCAGCATGCAGCAAGTGGGGTCTGTCGCCGGCAAGTACATGTCCTTCCTGTGTCTGGCACTGATGCTCCTCACCGGCTTCTTGGTCACATACTTCCCCACACCCACCCCGCTGCACCAGCACGCACACCCCGGCCACTCGCACGCCGGTAGTAAGTCCTCCTGGCAGGTCCTGGCTACGCGGGGGCTGTTGGCAGGTACGGCTACAGGGGTGACTGTGGGTATATCCATGGTCAATGAGATAGCTGCGGGTGTGTTGTCGTCATTCCCCAGTATATCTCTGACCACGATGGTGGCTCTGTGGCTGGCGCATGGGCCGGAATTGGGCCTTTCTGCGGTGGGTAGTACTATTCTTGGGTCGGGGAGTGTAGCGTTCTTCTCGCTGGCGTTTGGGGTGTTCATACACTGGTTCACCTTCAACATAGCCGTGTCCTGTGTGTTGGCGTATCTCGTGGGCCTGGCGTATAGCGTGGCTGTAGGGCTGCTGCTGTACTACGCGGATAAACGTAAACGCTATAGGTCGGGTGTGCGAGTGCCGTCGGGGCGGTTTGCGCTGTTTGACGATGTCGAGGAGTATGTAGGGGAGTTATCGGATGACGATGAAAATGAGGTTGAGCCGATAGTAGCGAGCTTCCCAGGCGATGAAGACATCAGCGAAGCTTTGCTACCTTAGAGTTTAGAGTTTAGGGTTTTAGGGTTTCAAGTTTCAGGGTCAGAGCGCATGATTGGATCAGATACGGAATGCATGGTGACACACCGAGACAGCATCTCCGCAGATATACCTACAAACCGATACCAAAGGTATGAAGGTACGGGCGCCATGTTCTCGTGATCCTTCAGATGGGCGTGAGTGTAGGGCTCCAGTCGCGCAGACGAGGGACCATGAGACATAGACTGCGACTGTTAGCATTAGCCGCTGGCAGTAGTCGGGCCAGGGGGACGGGATGTATATAAACAAATTATACTCGCTGAGATAAGAAACGTTTTAGGTGCCGTGAAGGCGTGCCAACTTAGGGTGCGAAGCTCAAGACATGTCAACACGCACATAAATGACCTGT